GCGCGACACCGAGGGTTGCGATCCCGTTACCGGTCAGTAAAAATGACAAAAAGGAAAAAAATAAAATAAAATAAATACATAAATAAAAAGAAAATGTCCTATAATTACACACACCCTCACACTCTCTCACACATGCACACTCCATTACAGAGCTTCGTGGTCTAGGTTCTTATGATATTTATGAGGCTAACTCATACATACCAACTATGTGATTGAAAAATAAAAAGTGCAGAATTCTGGACACTCCTAAATATGCAGATGTTTGGCAACAGAGAGACAGAACATCTGGGGGTCAGCACTGTGTTTTTCTCACCCTGTTTTGGAACGTGCTAGGCATAGTCCACATGAACTTCCTTTGTGGGCTAGCATTTCCTACTCACCACACACACTCTGGAACTACCTTTGGAAACAAGAATTAGAGGGAAGGTCTCTCATAATCTACAAACTCTATTCAATGAGACATCAGCACTGAGCTCTCAGTTTTCAACTCCAAGCAATGCAGTCCAAGCAACTCTACTGAGAAATGCCTCCTGGAAGAAGTTCTGTAGGAGACACCCGCTTCATCTGCACCATGGCAGGCATTCCCACCGACTACCTTCCTGTGACAGGGGCACCACTCACCTGCCGTGTAACTCCAGCCAGGGATGTGAATGGACAGCTGGTTGGCATGACCGCCTCTAGGACAACGAGTGGCCTGGTCCTCTTTCCCTGTGCTTACAGTGACCTGCTTGGTTCCCACATCTGTGAATTCTGTGTTTTCCAACAGAGGAGAACCACTCCAAGGACACATACTGGTCCCCAAATGCACCTGCCCCAATGGTAGGTTTTCCTTCAACTGTCTTTCTGGTAAACCTGGGTTCCAGCGCCGGCCCAGGCGGTCCTGGTTTCCCTGGGTGAGCTCTTGCTTCAGGCCTCCGCTCATTGGTTCTCCGTTGGCTACACCACCGGCTCCACCTGCTGTTAGTCTGTGGGAACGACAGTTGAGGTTGAGGGACAGGACGGATCTGTGCATTTGGGGGCTGGCAATTTGAGGTTGTTCAATGGGGACAGAGAGAGACTTGTCTAAGTAGTAGATTGAATTTGGACACTGCCGAGACACCCTGAGGTGGACACAGGAAGTGAACAGCAGCGGGCCCTTTCCCGAGGGTGGGGTGTCTGGGGAAAAATTATCCTCCGTGTCCTCCATGTGGGTGAGCCAGCACTCCTGTCCCTCACACAGCCGTGCGTGGGCCCCAGGAATTTGCAGCCTTACCACCGAGGCATTTCTGGAGAGCTCTGTGCTGGCAAAAGTTCTTTGGTGCCGACGTGCATGGGCACTACCAGCCAGTGCTGGGGTGTCCCGGAGTGTAGCATCCTTGGCCCTGCACTTGGGACACAGTGGGTCCCCAACAGTCCCCCACACCAGGGCGCTGGCTGGGGGGCCCACGCGCCTGGCAGTGATGGTGATGGATGCGAACCCTTTGTGGGGCCAGAGTGTAGCATCCTTGGCCCTGCACTTGGGACAGAGAGGGTCCCCAACAGTTCCCCACACCAGGGTGCTGGCTGGGGGGCCCACGCGCCTGGCAGTGATGGTGATGGATGCGAACCCTTTGTGGGGCCCACTGCATGGGCTCTCCTCTTTGGGCGGCAGCTCCATCTCAGGTCCTCGTGCATGTGACAGTGTCGGGATTCCTAATGGGCCCGGCAGCAAGGCAAACGCCCTGTGGATGTTGACTCCACTGCATTTAGCCAGGGATTGGTTCGTGGGATATGCCCGAGGCTGAGCGATCACACAGGGCAGGGGCAACCCAGCCCCCCTTTCTTTTGATTTATTCTCATCGATCAGCTGCGAGATGACTATGGACGAAATCATTCTTGTGCTCTGCAGTGCCAGAGTCTCCTGAAAATGGAAAAAGACCCCAATTACTCCAGCAGTCCCTTGTCACACAGGCAGCCAACTCTCTTTCAGGGGCAACACTCAGACTTTCTCATTCCAGGCTTTTTACCCCACACCTGACACCATCTCTGAGCGTTCATAAGGGCGAGAACCCCAGATCTGTGTATGAAAAATTACACATTGTGGAAACATTAGTCTGACCGGTAAATTGTTTCCTCTGCTAGGTATCTATTCTTAGTTAATGTCAATGAGGGTTGTCAAATTTCTATAATCACCTCTACCAGGCCCAGGAGTCCCCAAATACAGGTTCACAGCCTCAATGTGGAGAATTCTGGAGGTGGGCTGGGACTTGGGGGCGCAGGTGTATGTGGGAGAGGAGTCAGTACTCCCTCATGCAAGCAGCAAATGTGCCGATGGGCAGCCCCACCCTTCCCGGTCCCTCCGGCAGTCCTCCACCTGTGCTGGTTCAGACTCTAATTCAGCTGCTCCCTCCAGCTTAGCATGAGGGAGTCAAAGTCCAGAAAGAAAAACAATGGAAATCAAATGCCCAAGCTTGCCCAGACTGACACTGTGACAAGCAGATGATTTCATTTAACGGGAGTGAGATGGGGGGCGCGAAACAGATGTAGTTTTGCTGCGTTTGAATGACCAGTTGCACAAGCATGAGCTTTTGTCCAGTATTTTAACTTAATTAAGGCATTTCATTCTTCCTGATCAGCAGATCGTGGGTCCTAATGGTAAATCGCTACTGTATCCAAAACTGTGTGCTGTGGTTTTCAATATAGCATTTAACCAGGTTGTGACCAGGAAGGCAAATCTCTTCTGTCCTCATTTTGTTTTTATTATGGTTATGTATAAAGAGCTGCAGAAAATGACATGGAGGACTGATTGTGTCCCAGCACTGTGTGGATGCTCACAGGGCGCTGAGCCCCTGTTGTCACATTCATTGTTACACGTGCTTAAAATGAAGCCTTGCTTGGAACTACACAGGATCCAAAATAATACCACTAACTCCTGACCTACCACTGCTTGCAAAAAATCCTTGCTTTGGGGGCCTGAAGGCATAATTGGGGTGCCAAGCACTTAAAGCAGCAGTTCTCAAACTCTAACATGCCTGAGAATCACCTCGGAAGTTACCATTGCAGGTTCCTTGGGCTCCAGAGATTCTGATTCTTAGGTCATGGGGAGGAGGAAAGCCCAAGCATCTGCATTTTAGCTGACATCCTGGTGATTCTGATGTAGGTGATCCAGGAAGCACACTTTGAGAAACACGGACAGAGTCGTGAGGCTGCTGGTCTTCTCCAAAGAACAGTTTTTGGAGGAGAAGGGCATGCATATGTTGAGGGCAGGGTGCACGCTTTCCCCAGGATGTGATGAGCAAGGACAGTGGCGATTTTCTCTTCTTCAGGGAAGAATTAATATTCATTTACTCAAATGCTGTTGCACGTGCTCTTCCGGCTGGACATTTGATGTGCAAGTCTGCATGGCTGCAGGAGGACCGGCATGTGTGCTCTTGGCACCCTGGGGGCTCTGTGTCACCACTGTCAGTCCTGAGAGGAGGGTTGGTTTCTTTTTCAGGGCAACCTCCATCACCTTATAAGTTGTTATTTTTTTTAAAGATATGCGGGAAGTTGCAAATTCAAAACGTCAACAGGAGATGAGCAAAGAAGAAATGGATAGTAGAGTCATTAAAAATGCCCTTTGTTTCTTAAAAAATCAAAATATCACTGGATATATTCCCCCCCCCAAAAAAAACCCAGTAGCACTGAGTCATGAATGGGGACATTCAACCTTCTCTTTTAACCTGACTGCTGCCTCATGCTTCAAGTTCACACCATGTGGTTCTCCATCAAGGGGGTCTCCCATGTGGGTCGGGCCCTGCCTGAAGCCCTGCCATGGGTAGGGCCTCCTTGCTAGCAGTTCTCAGCCAAGGTGCATCATGAAAGCCCCAATGCCCAATCCCTAAACAATGACATTAGAATCCCTGGGGGTGGGCCGGCCCGGTGGCGCACTGCTACAGTGCGCCGCTTGGGAAGTGCGGCGGCGCTCCCGCCGAGGGTTCGGATCCCACATACAGACCGTTCCCACTCACTGGCTGAGCGAGGTGCGGGAGCAACACCGAGGGTTGCGATCCTGTTGCTCTACCCGGTCCGGTACAGGCGTGACACTGAGGGTTGCGATCTGTTGCCGGTCACGAAAAAAAAAAAAAAAAGAATCCCTGGGGGTGGTGGAGGACCAGGCATCAACGTTTTTTAAAGCTTCCAGTGCGATTCCAGCAGGCAGCAAACAACGGGAGTCAACAGTCTCGATGCTTCTGCAGCACAGTCCCCCGCCTCCCCTACCCTCATAGCATTTTTTGTGACTGCAGTTTACATACAGGAAAACTGAAGTGCACCTGGTGCCTATTTGGCTTACACAGTCCCTCCTATTTTAGTTAAATTTAGTTCCGATAATAATTGTTCCCCATGCGAGGTGCATAATCATACCCAGTAGGAGCTCCTTTGACACTGGTCTTTGAAGAAAAAAAAAAAAAATATCCACCTTGGAAACAGCAGTATTGGTCTTATTTTATAGTGCAGTGTTTCTCAAAATTTGAATCTGTGACTACCTGCATAAAAATCACCTGGGGGTTGGGTGGGTAAAAATGCAGATTTCTGGATCCCTTCTTCCCTGGACCTAGGTTGAATCGGGACCTATGGGGATAAGACCCAGAATTTGTATTTTTAATCAGCTCCCAGGTGATTCTTGTGTGCACATTTGGTGGAAAGGGTGCTGGGCCGGGACTCAGGCTGCCTGGGGCCATCCTGAGCCTGGGGCTCCAGACCGGTTACAGGACCTTGGACAGGGCCTTGGCATCCACAGCTGTAGTACAAGGAGAAAACGGGTGATACTGTAGTCTCCAACATCCAGTAGACACCCCACCCTTCAGGCTCCTTGCTGTAAATAAGGGGTGCATTCTAGGAATGAGCACTGTCATCCAGCCTGGAACAAAGGCAGGAAAGACCCCGACATTGGCAATGCCCACCTGGCTCCACACCTGGACTGAGGAGCGGAGCCCAGGCCACACATGCAAGGGATGCCCTGGGGCTGGGCTGGGGTGCAGGCCGAGGGTGTCTCTCCAGAAGGACCTAGAGGCCGAGAAGGGGTGGGACAAACAATGAGCCACCATCCCATTACCTGGGGCCTGGCAGGTGTGACTGACTTCGACTCCATCAGATGCAAAAGGGCCAGGGAACAGCAGTAATGAACGTGATGAATTCGATCTTATTTCTGGAGCTCTGGAATTGCTCAGTGTGTCAGGGTGACACTGTGTCTGGGCCATAAATGCCAATGGAAGCCCAGTTCCAAAGAAAAATGTTTTGCCCTCTCTGCCTCACAGGGAAGGTATGAAGATCAAAAAGATGATGGACATGAATCTCCTCTCAAAACACGAACCTGTTAGGGAGCTCTCGGGTGTTACTTTTCCTATGATTCAGCAGAAATCAGTGGATGTCTGATATAAACAAATGTACAGAGGAATGAGGGAATATTTATATCAAAGTTATACAGTATTATAGTGGAATTTACAATGAATGCATTTGAGTTTACCTGAATTATATAAATAGAAATAACTCATTACATATCTAGCACATTTAAATTTTGTTGATGTAAATGTGAAATCAGTGCAATTTTCTAGGTGAAAATTCTGTTACAACATATAATCACCATGGAACAATTTGTTCACTCATCTGACAAATACTTATTGAGCACCTACTGTGTGCCCGGCACTGTGCTGGGTGCTGGGAGGCTCTCCTGGTCTCATAGAGTTAACAGCCTAGAGGTAACGTCAAGCCGGTAACCAAATTACAAGACCAGGGATTATTAGGTTAAATACTAGTGTGTTTTTACCAGTGTTTGGACACTGCTTTGACAAAAGCCCTAAACAACAAAATGAGAGAAATTAAAAAAGAAACACTGGACTTTTTGCTGTTCAATATACTTAATACCCTTGTAAGGGAAGTTCTATTTATCAAATCCTATTTTTCTCATTGCAACCATTTAAATAATTAAAGACAATTTCAATCTCTTAAAAATCTATATTAGTTTGCCAGAGCTGCCATAACAAAGTACTGCAGTCTGGGTGATTTAAAAAATAGAAATTTACTGTCTCACCATTCTGGAGGCTGGAAGTCTGAGATCAAGATCTCAGCAGAGTTCCTGTCTCCTGAGGCCTCTCTGCTTGGCTTGTACATGGCTGTCTTCTCCCTGTGTATTCACATGGTCTTCTCTCTGTGCTTTGTGTACTTATCTCTTTTTATAAGGACACTGGTCACATTGAATTAGGGTCCACCCTAATGACCTCATTTAACCTTAATCATGTCTTTAAAGACTATCTCCTAGTACAGTCACATTCTGAGGTACCAAGGATTAGGATTTTGACACATCACTGGGTCTGGGGAACCAAGTAAGAGATAAGAAGGAGAGGTTATTTAATGTTCCTAAGTCAGCCTGCTACTTTAAAAACTGGGCAAATTTTCTTTAAAATGTAATCACATTTTTCACATCAGATATTTTTCCAAATTAAGCTATTTCAGGGTGACACTTCATCTGCCTTTTATACTGGGTTAACTAAACGTGGCTTTGCAAAAACATTTCTTTCATCTAAAATAAAATTAACTGATGTAAGGTTTGAAAGGAAGAAAATCATCTTATATTTAAAGTAAAACGTTCTAGGTTGGAGAGGTCAGGTGAACAGCTGGGTTTTGTGTCTTGTTTTGGTAGTAAACCATCCATTTCCTGATTTTTTACATTTGCTTTGAGATATCGATTTCTTTCAAATGTTTCAAACATGATTTTGTAGAGTTAGCAACGGCTTTCAGAGTTTCATGTTTTTTATTGACTGTTTTTAACTTTATATTTATGCCTTAAGGCATATGACTAAGAAGGGCATTATTTCCCAAACTGAAATAAGATAGAGAGGAGCAGTGGATGATCAGAGAAATCAGATCCCAAGCCAGTGCAGTAAGGATGCTTCCATTCCTGCAGCAATTTATTTCTCCAAAGGATAAGCATCTAATCCGATCTGTACCTTTGAAATCTACATTTTTCTCCACGAGACAATTCTTTTCTTTCCTGTTGCTGCTTTGCAATCCACAACTGTATTTGCTACATGGATTCTTTGGATACATCTCCCCAGACTCTACAGACACCTCCACATTCACTGCAAACATGACCTGTACCTTTGAAATCTACATTTTTCTCCACGAAACAATTCTTTTCTTTCCTGTTGCTGCTTTGCAATCCACAACTGTATTTGCCACATGGATTCTTTGGATACATCTCCCCAGACTCTACAGACACCTCCACATTCACTGCAAACACGCCTACCGCCATTTAGTTGATCTAGAATCTTCCTCACTAGGTAATCTGTCAACCCAGTGGCATTTCATGTCAAAAGTAAGAGCATCTTCAAATGTATGAGTTCACTCTGGTATGTAGCAACAGGTTAAGACAGATTTAAGACAAATGGAAAAACCTGATCTTTTCTCACTGTCCATGGTGAAACTTTTGTCTTTCTATGAAGTTACTAAAAACCAAAGGATTCAATGCAGTGTAATATCTAACAGTGAAAAGCCAGCAAGAATCAATTTTTTCCCAAATTTTTTTTATTGTGGTAAAATACACATAAAATTTAACAACTTACACATGTTTAAGTGTACAGTTCAGTGGTGTTAAGTACATTCTTAATGTTGTGCAACTGTGACCATCATCCATCTCCACAATTCTTTTCATTTTATAAAATTGAAACTCTATAACATGTAAACAGTAACTGCCCACTCTCTCCTCCCCCAAGCCCTTGACAACCACTGAGAATCAATGTTTTTTAAAAGGGGGAGTGGGTAAGTAAATCATGCACAACTGCATCTTATATTGTGCAGAAATTGAAAATAAAAATTGCAAATAATTTAAATGACATGGGAAATTGCTTTCATTGGAATATTGTGAAATGAGAGAGCTATAAAAGTTGACATGCATCACAGTCTTATATTTAAAAGTGCATGGGAGAAATAAGGGAACTGTATATATAAATATTTTCTTATTTATATGTTTCTGCATTTTCCTAAGTTTCTACATGGGTTTGCCATTACTTTTATTATCAGGAAAATTTAAACTTTTTTTTTTTTAAGAAGAGAACTCTGTACCATATTTCACTCCTTTTAAATAATCACTTGGCAGAAGAGGTGCCTTCATATCATCGCTACAGCTTTGACGCCTTTGGGAAGGCAAATGATCAATCTTGTGCAGGCTCTGGAGGAGAGGCAGAGATTTACGGCAGTCACAAAGGCAGGGTGTCCACTGGCGTGTTTCATCCTCTTACAGCAGCCTACAACACACACCCAGGAGCAAGCTCTGAAAGCTCAAGGTTGGGAGGGAAATCCGAAAGTCACGCTACTGACCAAATCAGATGATGCAGATCATTCCAGAGCAGATGTTTAGAGACTTGTTTAACTCCACCACAGATAATGACCGAGGACGAGTGTGCATGTGTGAGTGCGTGTGTGTGTTACAGGGATCCAGTCACCTGGCTCTGAAGATCTACATCATCATTAATGACCAAACCCTGATTAATGTTGACATTGACAGGCAAATGCAGAGATTCACCAGCTCAATGTGAAAAACAGGTGGGAAAGATCGCCAGTTGGCATCTTTCTTTCTTTCTTTCTTTTTTTTTTTTGTCTTTTTCGTGACCGGTAAGGGGATCACGACCCTTGGTGTGGTGTCACCCGCACTGCGCTCAGCCAGTGAGTGCACCGGCCATTCCTATATAGGATCCGAACCCGCGGCGGGAGCGTCACTGCGCTCCCAGCGCCGCACTCTCCCGAGTGCGCCATGGGGTCGGCCCAGTTGGCATCTTCCTTAAAAGGACGGAGCACTCGACCTCGGCAGCATCTGTCCTGAACGGCATCTCCTCCTGGGGGGCTCTGACTGGTCCACTGCCTCTCCTACTATCTTTCCTCCTGCAACTGGGGCTTCTGCTGGGGTTCTGCTCCCAGGGAACGAATTAATTTTAGCCACGTTTCTTTACCTCTTGCACCAGTGAGCTTGGTGCTTCCACATAGAAAGGGCTTTAGATACTAGTGAGTGAATTTCAGGACCCAAAATCGCATCCTTTCTTCATTTTGTGGGACTTTGGGCCTGGGGGTGGTTCTCTGAAGGAAATGTTAAGCTTTATTAAATGAAGAACTAAATCAAAGTAATACCTAAGACAAGCACTTGGGAGAAAAATATTTTTAACAGATGCCTTTGTACTTTAATCCATTATGAAAGATCAATTGTTATAATTTCACCCTCTCTTAGAATTACAAAAGTTGGTGGCTGAATATCCATTTGTGACAGACAGCAGATGACTTGTAAACTGTAACACCTTAGACAATTTTTTAAGGTGAAAAAGGCCATACTGTGAGGTCTGTTAACTGGAATGAGCCTTCTTCTACGACAGTTCTTTAGAGCAAATTAAAAACAGAAACTCAGGAGCTAGACAGCTTACAAGCTGTGCGACTTGGGGCAAGTCACCTGCTGAAGCTTTAGTTTTTTCATCTGCAAAATAGGTATAACGTTACCTACCTCCAGAGGCTAGAGGAAGAATTTAATGAGTCAGTCAATTAGACAGCGTGAGATGTGATAAGTCAGCATTTTAACCATTATGTACTGAATTCTTTGTCCCCTAGAATCTGCAACATTTCATTTTATAAATATGAACTCTAATTTTCTTCCCTATTTCAGACCACCGACACTTTTTGCAGTTATTACAACCTATACTAGCTTGTTTGAGATTTCAAAATACCTCTCCCCCAACTTCAAAACACATATGGCATAATCTCTCCACCCCAGCACATTAATTTTGGTTTAAAATTGAGATCAATCACCTTATTATCCTATAATACTGCAAACTTGCAATTGTTGGTGAAGATTATAAAAGAATAACTAGATATATCATGCATACTTTCACGTAAAAAGTCTTAGTCATTAGTGGTTAGATTTTCTGCTGCATTAATTCATTTTTTGTCTAAACAAAATAAAATACAATCACATTACGAGTAGGCCAGTGATTATGTTTTACCGTTGCAAACATTTTGCTGCCTCCTCTAGAAGATAGAAATATATGTTACCTCGGTGAAGTCAGATTTCCTCTCTGTAACATGAGACTGCAGATTTTTAAGAGAAATTTGATCATTGGTACCGCAGTGGTTGTCCCGTAATCCTAGGCAAAAAGAGATAATATTGCTACTTTTTAGTATATGAAAGGATAAAATGGAATATGTAACTCTACTATAAAATTTAATGTCACCTACTTACGTACCAGCCAATAGTGAATTCACTATATCCCCACCCACAATAAAACCCTGTCCATTTCTCTTGCTTATTCCACACCCTCCAGTTAGACGCTCTGAGTTCATTATTATTTAGTTTCTTAGGCTGCAGGATTCCTTCTTCCACACAGTTGTTTATGCTCTTTAGACTGAGTAATAATTGAACAAGTTTAGCCCTATCAACATTCACCAGTGTCCTGAGTTTACACCCAGCAGAACAGTCACATGCATAGATTTCCCAACACCACCAGCATTGACAGGCTGAAATACAAAACCGACTTTCACCCAACCTCTTAATGCAACCATTGCTGGAGAGCAATGGATGGCTCAGACATGGATATTAAAACTGTTTTAGAATATCTGAGGATAATTTGTGATAATATTGTGAACACTGTGTGTGAAATCCTATGTTCCTCTCCATGAGCATTTACATGAGGACAGCTAAGAATATCTTCAGGTCCAAGTGCACAAAGCAGTGGACCCAGCACTGGAGAATTCACTTGCTTGATAAAGATAGACAAGTCTGCAGACCACCTCCAGCCTGAATTTCCTCATCCACCATACCTACCTTGCATACCTCCTGGGGTCCCGGTAGAAGCACGCTTGAGGAGAAATCACCCTCAGATGCAAGCAAGTAGCACTACCAAGTTGGCCTGGGGCCTTTGGCAGACTGAGACAACCTGTATGCTGCAGTCTCTTGGGTCTCCAGCAGTGACCTCTGTCATGTCACTAATGCAGGAATGTGAATCAAACACAGTAAGACAGCTTGAGAGTGGCAGCCAGTAAGCAAGCCCAGAGTAACAATTTTGCCTCCACAATGAAGATAGTCTAGGAAAAGTGATTTTCCAAAGCCTATAATGAATGGTTCCCAACTGCTAGTTCTGGTGATGAGAACGAAGAGATTTAAGAGAGTAGTTCTCTAAATTACAGTCCTGTCTTTAGCAACTCATCAGAAGGGCTTATGAAAAATTCTAGGTAAAATTTAAAGCATCTTATGGAGAAAATGATATGCTACAGTTTCTCCAAGTTTGACAGATTTTCAAAGAGGTTGGGGCACTGCTTGAGGGGATTTCAAGGGCCACCCCCGACCCATCCAAAGGCTGGCTATGTCTCATCTTGTCCTTAGGTGACAAAGAGACTCCATCAGCTCTAACCCAGAGCTGTGGCTATGCCTCGATTTATGACTGCTATTGAGTGACAGAGACAGTCACCCGAGACCATGTGCACAGATTACCTTTCATGAAGTGAAAGGCCTCATGGATTCCTGGGCAGCACTGACGTATCGAGATGAACTAATGATCAGTCTGATGAAGAAAGAAGCCACCTGGCTCTGGTCGTGTGGAATCATTTGTGATTAAGAACTTTGCAGTCAGTGCAGGCTTTGGGGCTGGACAGGTCTGAGTCTGAGTCCAGCTTGGTCCCAGGCAATGGACGAGCTGCGGACACTCCCTGAGTTTTTTCATCCATAAAATGCAGACAACACCTCCTGCAAATGTGCAGCCTTGCCCTCCATGCACTGAGGTTACCATATGCCAAGCACTTGGGCAGGTGTGGAGTTTGATAAATGGCACCAGTTACAACTGTTAATGAGCAGGAGCAAGGCATTCCTCTTTGTGGCCCAGGTGGTCACTAGCACTGTGGCGTCAACAGTCAGGAAGCCCCTGGAATCAGACCACAGAGGCCCAGGGCCCTGAATCCCACCACTGGCTACATGCGTGGCTTTTGTGCAAGTTACTCAGCGTGCCTTGATTCCTCACAGTGAAATGGAGATGATGACGGTGCCTGTTCATAGGCTTACTGAAAAAGATCAAGGGACTTAACTAGCTAGAACTTAGAACAATCAATGCTCAGAACATAACACCATCCAATAAACACTCGCTACTGGATCAACACTAGCTACTGGGAGGTGTCTCATCTCTAGCAGGGAGGAGAGAGAACAGCTATGACCAGACAAGCAGAGGCTGTGTATGAGTTTCCTGTGGCTGCTGTAACAAATGACCACACACGGAGCTTAAACACCACAAATGTATTCACCTGCAGTTCTGGAAGTCAGAAGTCCAACATGGTCTCGCTGAGCTCAAGTCAAGGTATTGGCAGGACTATGTTCCTTTCTGAAGTCTCAAGGGAAGAGCACTTTTTCGGGCCTTTTCCAGCTTCTAGCAGCCACCTGCACGGCTTGGCTCACAAACCCCACATCACTCCAATCTGTGGTCTGTCATCACATCTCCTTTTCTGACTCTGATCCTCCTGCCTCCCTCTTTAAAAGACCTTTGGATTAGATTGAGCCCAGCTACATAATTGAGGATAATGTCCTCATCTCAAGGTTATTAACTTCATCACACCTGCAAAGTCCCTTTTGCAATGTAAGGTAACATACATATTCATAGGTTCCAGGGATATGGACATGGACATCTTTGGGGGAACCACTATGCCACCCACAACAGACTAGCTGGGGAAACTGAGGTATATTGGATGGAATGTAGCATCTTTAAAATAATAAACATAAAGTCTACATATCAATGTGGGACAGTCCTTCCAATGCAGTGTTTATCAAAAGAAAAGAATCAAAAGCCTTTGAACCATGTGACTGCAACATTAAAAAAAAGTGTGCGAATCTATGAAAACTGTAAAGTTGAAATCGCATCAAGAAGTTGCCCTGGTTAAAAGGAACTGGCAGAGGTGACAAGGCCCGAGCAACCGCAGGACACACGCTAGACAGGGTTTGTCTCTGGAGGGCAGCAGCCCGGCTCAATTCTAGTTGGGTGGTTTTGCATAATTAACCTCTTTGATCCCAGTTTCCCTATTTATGAAATTAGAACTTGGAATCAACACTGCTTGTGTCCTGCCCAGTTTCCCTTTCCTGGGAGCTGCTCCATCCCCCAGCTGTCAGGCAATGGGTAGCTATCAACGGCTCCTAGCTCCACTCTTCTCTGAGAATGGTCCTTCCTACTGGACTACAGCCAGTAGTGACTTTTTGGAATATAAAAGGCCAGGACAACTCTTGTTCATGCTCCAGGGCAGAAGGCAAAGGCCAGACTTGACCTAAGATGACATCTTTCCTGGGCCCTTCTCCCTGGCCCATCAGGCCTCCCTCAATCTCTTATGAGTACTTTCCCGAAGCCACCCCTGCACTCCCACACATCCTCAATCCGTGCCTCAGGGCCAGGAGGGCCTTGCAGAGTACGGCCCCGGAGCCAGCAGCAGCAGCAACCAGAAACTTGTTAGAAATGCACGTCCTCGGGTGCCACCTATGGACCCGCAGACATACCACGTGAGCAACTCTGGGGTGCGGCCATCTGTGCTATAGCACGCCGTCCAGGGCATTCAGTGTAGGCCAAGTCCAGGATCACTTGTTGGTCATAGATGAACAACTCCTTTACAGAGGGTGAGTCTGAAGTCCCAGAAGGGAACCATGATGCTTTGATTCAAACACCACCCTTAACTTTTAGAAACACCACACCTAATTTGTGGACATGGGGATCTCAATGAAGTTTCTCACCAACGGCTTCAGCTAGAATAAAACCATCATGAAAGCCAGCATGCTGACTTTTATTTCAAGACTAATTAAAAACCAGCCCAACAAACCACCCATTGTCACTGCTGGTTGAGGAATCAGTTGTGTCTGTGCCTCGCATGCTGGTCCTCTGTGGCCCAGGGCGTGTGTCACTCACCAGCATGTACCAAGTGCTTTCCTAAGATGATGGGAAGGATTCTATTTGCACCAGCCTCGATCAGCCTGAGCCACACCTCCAAAACTACTTCTCACTTTGAGTCCTTCCCAGTGGCCACAACCATCAGGAGTGAGACTAACCGAGCACTGTGAGGCCCTGAGCCAGGCCCTCTGGAATCCAGGTATCCTCCCTGGAGGAGGTGTGCACTTCCACAATGGCATGCAACTGGGCAGGAACTTATGCAGCTCCCAAGCTGTGCAGGGCCCTGGGCCGAGAGACAATGGCAGGAGATATGCTCTCTCCTCCCAGAGACCCCAGGAGGAAGTCACAGTTTGATCCCTGGCCCCAATAAGCCACAGAAAAGCCCTGTCAGCTGAGGGAACCAGGAAAAGTTGGAGGGAGGGAGGGGACACTTGACATGGCCTTTTCAGGTGGGAGGGATTTAGGCAAAAGTAGAAGGAGGTGGAGAGAAGGAGGCACAGCCCACACAGAGGTCAAAGGGAAAGGTGGAAGTGGTTTCAGGTCAAGTGGAAAGGAGGACAACGCAGCACATTTGGGGAGTAGCAGGTAGCCTATCAGGTGAAGTCCAGGACACGGCTAGAGAATCGCACACAGTCCCGCCTGTTGCCCAGGACTGCTTGAGCTGTCCCTTCAAAAGTAGCAGCCAGGCACCAGCACGTGCTGCGTAACAAATCAACCCATCAATGTGATGCGCACATGACGGGCGGGCCGCTGGCTTGGGTGGCGAGCCTCCCTGTCCCCTATCCACGGCGCTCCCCGCAGAGGCAGAGGCAGGCGCTCACACCCCCACCTCCTGCGTTTTAAATGCCTTCCCTCGTTTCTGGTCTTACAGGAGTCAAGGTTTACTCTGAGTCTTCACAGGCCTTTAACAATACCTTTTTATATTTTGAAACAGATGTTACTGAGAGAGAATCATCTGTGTGAGATCCGACGCTCCGGACCAACTGACCACCCAGTTCCTCTGGAGATTCCTCCCCGCTTTGATTTCTGGAACAATGTGGCCTCAGTCCTTCTACCTCTTGGCCACTGCGTCTCACCTTTGTCAGCTCTGTTCTTGCCCCCTCTGCCCTCCCTCGTGCCCTCTTACCAAACCCGTGTGGATCGGTCTGGCCCAAGAAGGGCCCAGATCTGCTCCGCGAGCACCAGCCCTCACGGCCAGCTGCCTCTGAGTCATCCCGAATGGATCTTTCAAAAGGGAGCCAACCACCTCTCCTGAAGCCCCCCTTCCTCCTCCTCTTGTGTCCATCACCTCTGCAAGTGGCCACGTCCTCCCATCACCCGTGATAGAAATGGAGGACCGCCATACGTCTCCTCCCTCCCCCGCACCTCCAAAGCCCACCTGAAGGCCAAGGCCAGTTTTATCAGGTGCAATAGGCTCTTCCCCATGGCATCAGTTTAATCTTCCTCTACTGCCTGGTCTTGGCAAGGTCACAATCAAGCTGGTGACTGCCCCCACCAGCTTTGTCTCCTGGTAGGTTCTGCCAAATCCCCTTGACATCGCCAGTTTGTGACTTTGTGGGGGCCATAAGCTCCCTTAAAACTCTAATGTAAGGGACACATTTCTCCCCCCAAACAGGACCTGGGAAATACATAAAAACCTGAGCACATGTGTTGGGAATAGGAATCCTTAAAACAAGCCCACTTCCACTTCCCAGAGGTGGCCGGTTGAACGTCTCTGCAGCTTTGACCATGAGTGCTGCCTTCCCAGCTTTCACACTGGGCTAACTCCTAACTCAGCTCAAGATCACCTCCCCTTAGCAGGGCCTCCTGGTCTGCTCCTACCCCACACACCCCCTAAGCTGGATTGGTGGCTGTATTCATGTCCGAGGGCTGCCATAGCAAATTACCACAGACTGAGTGGCTTAAAACAACAGGAGACTATTCTCTCACAGTTCTGGAGGCCAGAAGTTTGAAACCAAGGTGTGGGCAAAGTCATGCTGCAAAGAATCCCTCCAGCCCCTCCCAGCATCTGGGGGTGGCTGCCAATCCTTGGCATTCCTTGGCTGTGGCTGTCTTACTCCGATCCCTGCCTCTGTCTTCACATGACCATCTCCCCTGTGTGGACGTGCCTCCAAATCTCTTTCTCCTTAGAAGGACACCAGTCATTGGATTTAGGGCCCACCTTAATCCAGTGTGACTCATTTTAACTTGATCACATCTGCAAAGGTTCAATTTCCAAATAAGGTCACGTTCACAGGTATCAGGGCTTAGACCTTGAACACATCTTTTTTGGGGAACACAATTCAACCCACAACAGTGTCCCCCCACAGGCGTATCCATATGTCCTTATTACACTGCCCTGTAATTATTTGCTCATGAGTCATCTCGTGAAACTGGCCCAGGTCTTTAGAGGATATCAGCTTCCCTCCTTGCCCCCAGTGACTCACACGGTGCCTAGTCGACTGAGGACACTCACTGAGTGTGAACTGAATGAACACATTATTTTATGTTTAGGTAAGGGTTACATCTGGGGTGCAAAATCAGAACATACCTTCTTCAGACAGTCTGATCATATTCCACTGACGTTTCAAAGCCATTTTACTACATTTCAAAGGTCTTTTAATGATAAGGATGTGTTTGGCTACATAAAAGAAAAATGGCCACACTTTATGTCTGTAGCTACTCTCGGAATGAGTCAGGCTCCCAACCTTCCACCCTGGGTGAAAGAACCTGAAAGCTCTCTCCATGTGAAGTCACCGGAATGTTTACATGGCAACCAGGCGAGGGCGTGAGTGCCCCTCGGTGCTGTTTCTTGTCAGCAGGAGCAGCAATCAGCACTTTGATGTTTGTATCTGAGGCTTCTTTGACAAGTAAAACAAGTTGCATGAGCATTATTCAAAAGTTTTCTGCAGACCACTGTTAGATAGGAGACAAAGAACTATCTCATCCACTGCCTACAGTCAGATACAAATTTCTCCTCTTTCTCGCCAACTCCTCAGTATTTTTTATTTTTCACTTATTTCTATGATGCTGGTTCCCTTGCCAAGCAGCATTTTAGTGTGTTTAAAAGTTTCTTTATCTTGGCTATTGTAAACAGAGCTGCGATGAACATGCGAGTGCAGGTGTCCCTTCAACATGACGACCTCCATTCCTTTGGGTATATACCCAGCAGTGGGATTGCTGGATCGTGTGGTAGATGTATCTCTAGTTGTCTCAGAGACTTCCATACTGTTTTACATAGTGGTTGTACCAAATGTCCATTTGGACAACTGGATAAGGAAAATGTGGCATATATACAAAATGGAATACTACTCTATCATGAAAAAGAATGAAATTCTGCCATTCACAACAGCATGGGTGAGCTTGGAGGAACTTAAGTGAAATAAGCCAAGCACAGAGGGAAAAATACTGCATGTGCTCACTCATAAGTGGGAGCTAAGAGAGAAAGATGGAAGGAAAGAAAGGCCACAGTGGTGCGTTGGACTTGCAGAGGGAGAGAACACACCTAGGGAGTGGGGTGGGTGGAGGGAGGGGGGAGGGAGGTCAGGGATTAATTGGGTAGGGGACTTGAAGAATAATTACAATTTGTGATAATATGCATGCTGTCAGTATTGATCTGGCTATCACATCTTGGGCACAAGTGGTGATGGTCAGCTTTATACCTCATGAATATTCATAACCAATAAAATAAATAAATAAATAAAAGTTTCCTTAGTATTAAAACATATCTAGATAACATCACAATGTTAATCTGTTTCACCTACTTGTTAGCAATTTTTGCAGACTGGTTTATCTGGAAAACTGAGCAATACCACAGTCTGTTCACCATGCAGGCTATTACAGGAAGGATTGGTTTTTGTACAATTTAATAAAACATCTTTGACACTAAATTATAATAAATATTGTCTTATAATTTATACCCAATCAAATTGGAGGTAGCTTATAATTAACAACACAGTTAAAAACTGGTAAAACGGTGATTAAAGAAAAAAAAAAGCAACAAATGAGCTAGAGAAATCATTGAGGAAATATTCCTGGGCTAAAGGTGGCATTGGCAACGATGATCCCATCTTAAGGGTGAGTTTCCAACAGCCAAGGCCAGAGGAGAGACGTGAGACATTGCAGAAATTGCTGCCTTCAAGTGAAACTCACTGTTCTACAAGGAGAGCCGTTTTACCCCCAGGATAACACGTCGACAACAGGTTATTATATAAATGGACAGTGCCTTTGAAAGCAGCATCCTAAACATGAGACCAGTGCAAATTTCGCTGGATAATCCTAGTGTCCTTTGAGTCTGGTCAGTGTCACTATCGCATCATAATGGCTAAAATGGATTTCATAGTGACAGCGAGACACACATCACTAAGCATGATACAATTATGTCCTTTAGCACTCAGGATGGCCTTCTGAGGGGTGCACTAGTATCACCCCCATTTTACAGATGAGGAGGCTGATCCTCATTTAAGTAACTTGCCTAAAGCTGAAAGTTAGCAATATCGATCATCTCTGTACCTGTAGAAAAGGTAGAAATGGAGTGGCCTGAGGTTTTGGCATGTGGCCCGGGTGACACTTGGTGCTACCACATTCTCATGGTGTCACCTTGGAGGAAATGCATAACCGCTAGGTCCCTGTTTGTTTCTGTACAAGAGGAATCCTGGTATATGCTTTGTCAGGCTGGGAATTACTAACTGAGGTAAATAAAGGTTTTCATGGGCTCGGCACAGTGCTGTCACATAATGGGCCCTCGGAAAAAAATGGAGCATGTTATTACTATCCCCTGTCTTACGTACAATTTCCATCTCTCGGAAAGTTATGGTGTGTAATAAAGATGTTCTAAAGGACTGTCCACTGCATTTTGTAGTCAGGTGGGCTCTAGCTGAGTCTGAGACCCCTGGAGTCTGACACACGTGCCCTCTGGCCCTTGGCATGCAGGATGGAGCACCCCAGCTCTGCTCCTAGGTGGCTGGAGTGTGGGTCTCTCCTGAGGAATGGGGTAAGGCCACCAGCCTCGAGGACTGTGAGGGCAACCAAACACAATTGTGCGTGTGAAAGCACGCTGTGAACTGCGTGTCTGCTCACGTGGGTGCCATCAGGGTCATCGTGCCAGCAAACATTTAGTGAGAGTGTAACCTGTTGGGGTACTGAGTTAGGTGCTGGGGCAGCAGTGAAGGGAGCACAGGAGTCCCTGTCCTTGAAGGACTCACAGCCTAATGGGGGAATGAGGCACATAGAGAGAGATTTTCAATGCAAAGTGGATTTGATCATTTTCTCTTATGGGTTGTCTTACTTTTTTCAATTGTGGTAAAATACATATAAAATTCAGCATCTTAATCATTTCTAAGTGTGCAGTTCAGTGGTATTAAATACTTTCATAATGCTGTGCAACCACCACCAAAACCCCTCCCCAGAACTCTTTCCTCTTGCAAATCTGACTCTCTGCACCCATTAAAAATTAATTCCTCATTACTGCCTCATCTACCTCCTGAAAGCCACTCTTCTACTTTCTGTCCCTATGAATTTGACTATTCTAGGGACCTCACATGAGTGGAATCATGCACTATCTGTCCTTTTGTGACTGGCTGATTCTGCTTAGCATAATGTCTTCAGGGTTTGTCCATGTTGTAGCACATGTTAGAATTTCCTTCCCTGTTAAGGCTGAATACTATTCCATTGTGTGCACCACATTTCGTCCATGCATCCACCAGTCAGTGGACACTTGGGCTGCTTCTGCCTCTTGGCTGTTGTGACTCATGCTGCTGTGAACCCAGGTGTACAAATATCTATCTGAGCCCCAGCTCTTTCTTATGGGTTGTCTTTTGCTTTTCGTTCTGTGGTCTGTCCTGGTCCTATTATGTAGTATTTTCTGAGAGGTAGATGGGGCAAAGAGATTAGATACACGGATAGATAATCTTAGTAGTAATCTTAAGCCGTCTTTTAAAGATTCTCTTTTCCTTCCTTCCTAACCATACACACAGGGGAGGGGGAAACAGGAGCAGGGGTCTCATTTTAAGACCTCGACAGATCCAAGGCATGGAGAAGGGGACTGGTCCCCCCTCCCACAACCAAGCACACCGTGCCAGCACCTTGGAGCCTGCGTGGGGACCTGAGGCATGGAGCCGGGGACCAGAACCCCCTCCCACAACCAGACACACCATGCCGGTGCCTCAGGGCCTGCCTGGGGACCCAAGGCATGGAGCCCGGGACCAGACACTCCCCACAACCAGGCACACCGCCATCACCAAAGAGCATGCCAAAAACATCA